CAAAGCACGCAATAACCAGGATTCGAACTCGGTAGCATAAAATTAACCGATGCCACTAGCCATTAGGCCATTGCGTAACCTTGAAATGTATTGAAATTATCCTACTGTTTATTATATTGAAGTTGTTTAGCAACTTTAACCCGATCATAAATCTCAAAACAGTTGAGGGTAATTTAATATTAACTAGTTAAAAATTAAACCTTTTTGTTTAATCTTGTTCTGTATTCTGAGGTTCAATCATAACATTCTTTACTATCTTTGAGTGAGTTCAGTCACGATTTGTTTAACAAGTTTTTAATATTTATTTTTATTATGAGTTTGCGTTCAAATATTGATATGGCTACGAGGGCCCAAATAATAGCATTGCATAATCAAAGCTTAAATTATACTGGAATTTCTAGAGAAACTGGCTTAAACGTAAGTATTCTTCTAAAATGACCGTTTGTTATTTATTTTATTATCCATGGTTATCAATACATGAAAATAATAAATAATACACATCCCTTACAGGTAAAGACTGCCACTTTATGGATATCTAAAGCTGTTTCAAGAAGAGGGTTCATTGGAGCACCGTAGTGGATCTGGCCGAAGACGTGATATTGACTCAGACCAGCTTCAACTTATGGGGCAAGGTTATGAGGGAAATTACTGGAGAATTGTCATCTTCAGTGATGCAAACAGTGAAAACTACATAGATGTGCTGAAAGACGTCATGAAGATGTGCTAGTGATAACGTTCGTGCAGGACAATAAAATTGTGCTATGTGTAATGTTCCATAATTGTGCAAGTGTTTAGTCAGCAATCAGACATACGGATTATTCCTTGCCCAGCGAGATAGGAGAAATAGGATCGATAAAAATGGCGGCTACACTAGTTCTTAAAAGAAAAAATATTGTTGACAATAGGATTAAGCAATTACAAGACCGGGTTAGCTATAATTTATTTAATGGATAAATGTTGAAACTTAATGTTAGTGGGATAAATTTATTGACTACTTTATAACCAGCAACTGTTATACAGTAATGATTTTAATGTTTTACTAAATATGAGAAATAAAAATAAAAGCAATATTAATATCTACAGATGCTATTGATTGCAAAATAATAAATTATTTATTTATTAATTACTATAAACAATTCGTCCCATATCTAGTGAATGCTATATCCTGGTATTAGAAATGTTATTGATTTAAGGTCTAGCTTCAATTTCTTCCTTGTTCTGGAACGAATACTTAAGCTATGAGCCTTTGTCATAACATGATGCACAAAATGAATCACTTTAGTCAATACTTTAATTAAATTTTATGGGGAGGTAAAATAGTTGCAGAAGTAAGGTTGCATATCATATAGAATCGTATTATAACATTGTGTTTAAAACTAACTAATAAATGACTAGCACAACACAATTATTTTGATTTAAAATACTTATTAATCTTATAAAAAGTGTAATAAATAATGTGTCAGTTACCTGAAAAGTCATTAGGTTAGGGTATACACTATATAAGAAAGAAATAAATATTATGTTTTGAGAAATAAATGTCTGAAATTATAATGTCACTAAAATAGTTTTATTTGTTATCCTTTATGAGAATTAAACTTAGTATTAGTCTTAATCTGTAAGAAAAATATGTTACTTTTACATTAATAGTTAGCACATATTATAAAAGTTATTTATATATATTTATTAATATAATTTTATTCTAAAATAATATATATATTTATTTTTGTTATCTTTTAAAAATATTAAACGTCAAATATTTTATTTATATATTATTATTATTGATTTTATATAAAAAAATATAAAAAAACCATTGTTAAAAAACCTGAATTTAAAAATGATAACCCGGAATTGAACCAGTGCGCTTTGACTTCATTATTCTATCATTCTTATTTATCCGAGCTACCGATCGCATTTTTTATGATATTGAAAATGCGGGTTAGTTTATAACTTTTATTATTGTCTATTATTAATTATTGACGCCATCTTTTAATTGGTTTGCTTGACTTGACTTAGATGGCGCTATATTAAGTCCTCGGAAATGAGAAAATTAACATAACTCATGTGTATTTGAATATAAATATATTATTGTTTCTTAATTATTATTTTAACCATTAAAAACCTTATTGTGTGCCTCTGCAGTGTAAAGTATTCAAGCTTTGAAGGGTTATTTTCATTTAAAAGCAGCGCCATCTAGTTATCAATGGTAGCGTTATGCAAAACCTGTCAGTCAATAGTCGACCTTAAGGTCTCCATGCATTTTTGTCACCCTTAGTACATTAGTAGTGTATGAACTAACTGGTTGACAGGTATCGCGTAGGTGTTCAGAATTCAGGTACGCACCATTTGCAAACTTTATGGTATAGGAACCAGGCTTTCGTCTTGAGACTCGCCGCTACTGGAAGGAGAGGTATATTAATACCAGAATTTTACAATATATTAAAGAAGTTAGTACACTTTAAATATAACCAATAGACCACCACAGACGGGGCCCTATAGGGATGATGTTCAGCCGGGTTTGCGGGGCTAGCGTAATAAGACACCGCGGCTTCGGCCTAGAGCAGGAAAAGGAACGGGACGTTTTTAGTCAGTAAGTATCTGACACTCTCTCTTTTGCCCCACCCTGGAACAGGCATTATGGGCAGGAGAAGTCATTTGATTATTTTCCCGTCACAAAAAAGGACTATCGTATAGGTATAGGCTGCAAAGCACTGTATTAAAAAAGATTTGCCAGTGTGAAAAGCTTATCATCATATTGCTCATAAGTATATCTTAGTTTTAAATTCAAGTTTCTATTTATTTTAGTTTAGTCTTAAGATTCTCTTTTATTCTCTTTGGCATGCGGTGTTTACCTGTAAGTACCTAATGTTTGCATTGTACCTTATAGATAACCTAATTGTAATTACTGTTGTTGCATGCTTTGATGTACAACATTGTTGGTAGACCTAATAAATAAATAAATAAAATATGTTCGATATTTAAACAATTAAACTCTGAATTAGGTATTTGACAACTGCCAAATTAAATTGAATACCTTTTGAGACGCGTCAAATTGGCTACTTATTGAAATGTGGTTATATTTTTTTCATTTTTGACCAAATCAAAAACCTAATTATCAGTTTCCTTCAAGGTCTAAAAATGCATCAGAAGTGCGCTGCAAGAGTGTGACAAGTTACGGCTTTGTTACGACAGTGTGGCATAAAAAAGTGGAAAAAGAATGTTTCTCAATTATCAATTTCAGCCTAATTACTTTGCAATAAGGTTCAAAATCTATTGCCTGTTTTAGGATAGCTTGATGTGCAGGCATCTTTACCTCAAAGTGGAATCGTGTAGGTTGTATGTAAACTAGATAAAGTAAGTCCTGGGACTCATATTTATTCTCTGTGGCCTGCGATGCCGAGTTCAGGTGGCTTTGCACCTTGTTACACTCCCAAAGTTGTAACTTAAATGTTGGTTCAAACTTACTCTTAGAATATGTTAGGTACAGCCAAGCTTTTAGCACATTTCTGGAATAGAATGTATGCATTTAGGCTTTGTTGATTTTGTAGACGAAAAACATCCCATCCGAATTTCAAGAATCTCATTCTAAAGTTGATTATCTACCCCTAGAGAACAAATAATAATACTACACAGTACTAAACAGCAACAAAAATAAAAAAACAGTGTAAATTCAATAAAAAAATTCGTCAACAACTTAAAAAATCTCTTGTAAATTCGTCGAACATTTTGTGCCAATTATTTTTAATTCAAACCTCATTTAATTGCCAACCTCAACGGTAGGTATTATTTAAAAATCGAACAATAAAAATTGCATTCCGTTTTTTTTTCTTCGAACGTGCTCAGAAGCTAGTCTATGACTTTTCTTTGTTAAAAGTGAGCAAATAATGTTCTAGAACAGACCGGAACAAAATGAAATTTACTCTTTGTAATTATTAATTTCTCTTGTAAGTCTTAGTTTCAATTATGTTTTGCTACTGTAGAAAACATTAATTACATTTAGAAATTCTGGAAAGTAGCTGCACTCTCTGATAAATGTTTATCTTTAAAACTACGATCACCAACCCGGCTTAGTATTTAGATTACGGCAAAGCTTCCAAAAAAAAACAGTGTTTGAATTTGCTTTACGTTCGCTAGATCGCCATGTTTATGACGTTCGGCGCACTGATTGGCCCGCTCCAAGTTAACCAACCAATCAGAGTGCTAAATACGATAACGTTTCAATCGCGTTAACATAAGAATAACTTGTACTTAAAACTTAAAAGATAAGTCTAACTGTGACTCCTAGTCAAATATATAGTATGCGTGTTCCCTCCTTTGGTTCTGAGTTCTGAGGAGGAGGTACAGAGCCATATACTAGAAGTCAACCCAATCTCCCTCCCCCCCTTAATACTCAAATCCCCTATCCTTAAATCACTCATAACTTACAAGAGATCGGCAACGCACTTGTAATAACTCCTTTTGTACTAAGAGTGTCCAAGGGTGGCGCTGATTGCTTACCATCAAGTAATCCGTCTGCTCGTATGAGGCTACCTATGACATAAAAGAAAATTAAAAGAAATACTGTGACTTGGCACTCGAGTGGACTAATATTTTCTCCTCAGCCATCTCCGCACAGCTGGCTTAGAATTATTTTGTAAATTATTCCAACTTTCACCCAAATTTTGTTGGCAATTTACATCGCATTACAGAATGGACTCGTCACAGGATAATGCATGATAATTGTTAACAAAAGTTCCACCGTCGTCCATTTTTGTGCTAATTCCACGTGAGAATTCCAAAAGTTTCAAACTGGTCTAACAACATTCCAAATAATTTTTAACATTATATTTTACATTGAAAGTACAAGGATTTTTAACTTTTTCTTTTTTTTAATAATGGCCCACTGTAGGTACCTACAGTCGCGATTCAATGAATCTTTTAAAATAGAAATACCAAATCATAAATTTTATTCATCTTAAATGTTAGCACTTAATAAAATAAATATACACGAACAGACAAATCCCTCATTCGTCGTATTCCTCTAAATCAAACAAAGAAGTTGGTGATGTAATTTCTGTGACCTCTTCATCGTCTCTTTTATTCGAGTTTAACATGTCTAACAGGTCCACCTTCTGCATAGTGACCCTGACCAAATCCTTTAAAATCTTCCTGATATCATTGTCCTGGGCGATCAAGCCTTTTATCTTCTCTTTAGTGAAGCCTGAAAGGTCTCTTCTTGTCTGCTGTGGCATTTGTATTTTGTTTGGCTGGAACTTGACCTTCTTCTTTCTTCGTTGTATCATTTGCTGTTGAATACCCATTCCTGGCTGATGAGGTTGTTGAGGAATCGGTTGTAAAGGTTGGATGGGTTGGATGTTGTTGAAGGGTTCCATTTGTCTGTTCACGAAAGCTGGTGTTGGGTTGGGCCCACCAACGCTGCATTCGTTGGCGCAGGTCATAGCGCAGCACATCTTCGGGAATGGACAGTCTGGCTGCCTGGGAGGCGGTGGTGGTGTGGGTGGCGGAGCCTCGTACCGCAGTGGCATTGGTTTCGGTGTAGCCTCCGTCTTGCCCTGCCGCTGGCAATCCTTATAGTACAAAAGATTCTCTATACTGTCCTCGTCTGAAGATGACGATTTGTACTTCTTCGACCTCGATTTTGATCTTGCTACTTGTGTCATGTATATGGTTAGTATAAACTGTAACAAAGTGGTTTATATCATTTATCATACATCGACTTACTTGTTTTGAGTTTTAAATTTGATATAATGTTATACGCAATAAACTTAAATATTAATATAACGGAATTGTCGTGTAAAAAACTATGTCAAAACTATATTGATGTCACAAAAACTTACATTTGCTCAAATAATATAAGTTACTGAACAATAAAAAATATAAATTATTTTTATTGCTATGTTACACAATATAGCATTAAAAATATATTTTGGTTGATTATTTTGCCCACTCGACTTTACCATGCGCAAGTTCGGACTCGCGACTATATTCAGGGCGGTCACAAAATTTGGCGCAGGCTGTACAGTATACTGTTAGGATTGCCCCTCAATCTACTCTCTCTCTCACTTACTCTCTCGCTGTCTCTATCTCTATCTCTAGCTATACTGGAAGACAAAATTGATGGCCCGTTTATTAGACACTAGACAAGTAAATATGTGTGTCCTGATGGCCAGGTCAATTATTGTTTAATATTAAGTTATGCTTAAATTTTATGTAATGTTGTCTACCTAACATTAGGATAAAAAATTAAAAACACTTATGTATATATTCTTTGTACTCACAATTTGAAGAAAGTCCATTATTTGACACAGTTCACATTGATGCAGTGGCTTGCACATAGTCTATCCATACACTAAGGCTTGAAGGAAATCGGTTGATTATGTTCTTTTGTAAACATGACAAACTATTTTTTAAAATCGATTTGTTATTGGCTTTTTTCGCTTAGTTACACTGTTTATTTACTTTAGTTATTGGAAGTTATGACCCAGAATTTTCTTCTTGATTTTCTCTGTATTATATATTTACGTATGTATTTCTTATAACTTTCAGTTTCAGAGAGCAATGATGTTCTTAAAAAAATGTTCAAAAGTTTAAACGATATTTCGTGGAGTAAATTGATAAAATAAAATTAATAATTTTATTGATGAGTGCTATTTACAAAGGTCATGAATGATTTGAATGTAGAACTAAGTCACGGTAGAAGAAAGTAGGTCAAAAAGTGTTTTGTTTTTTAGCCGCAGTGAAAACAATAAAATGCTATCTTGAATCGTTATCGGAAAACGGGAAAATTTACAAATATTAAGTTTTATGTTTTATTTTAAACACCTTTAACTCCATCCTTATCGAGGTGAATTGTATTTTGTACTTTCATTTGATGCCTTTCTTTCGTAAACTCTGTGACAGAAATATAATATGTATTCATTTTTTGAGGGGAAAATTTCATCAAGAACTTTTCCTCTCCTCTGAGAGGAAGTGTTAGACCCTTACTGACTAAAAAACCTCCCCGTTACTTCTCCTGCTCCAGGCTCCACTGCTTGACTCTCAACCCCGGCTGACCCTCAGTCCTGTAGGGTCCTATTAGTAGAGACATAAATACCTACATACTAGGGGGTAGCTGTAGAAAGTTCAATAATTAAAAAATAAACCAGTGCATTGATAATTCCACCCAGTTGTTACTGTGTCATCTAATAGTCCAAAACTTGTTCCGTACGAGTGACCTGACCACCACAGACGGGGCCCTATAGGGCTGATGTACAGCCGGGATTGCGGGGTAAGCGCAATGAGGCACCGCGACCTCGGCCTAGAGCAGGAGAACAGGGGGGATTTTAGTCAGTAAGAGTCTGACACTATGGGCGGGAGAAGTCATTTGATGACTTTCCCCTCAATAAAAAAAGACGAGTTACTCCTAAAATACAGGGTTTCCCTACTTTAAAACTGTTCCTACATTTGTCGTGGAAAAATTAACGCATGTTTATTTTTGTATCTTTCATGTGTTACTAAGTTTCAAACTTTCGTGCATAACATAATATAATTACTAGTAGTACTTTCCGTGTTAATACCCGCGTAAATGTATTATTTCTTTGATTTCTATGAATTCTCTCGAGAATGAGAGTCAGACTTACTGACTAAATACCATCCCACCCATGAACATCCCGTAAAACCAGAGAAGTTGCAAGTGCATTATCGATATTTTGGGGATTAGGGGTTTGGGGAGAGATGGGGTAAGAGGAAAGGTTGGGCCTCCGGCTGCCTCACTCACACGACGAAGCTCAACTCTCAGGTTATCATCATTTCGAGCGAGGCGGCATATTTGTGGTGGCGGCATATTTGTGGTGCCGGCTCGCGGGTTTCCCACACTTAAAGCATTTGTTGCGCAATTAATGCGTTTGCATCTGCAAACCCGTCTGAACATCAGCCATCGGAGGTAGCGGGGTAAGCGCAATGAAGCACCGCGACCTCGGCCTAGAGCAGGATAAGGAACGGTAGGGTTTGATTAGTCTAGACTAGTAGAGTCTGACTCTTCCTCCAGCCAGACCCTGGGCGGGAGAAGTCATTCAATAATTTTCCCCTCACAAAAAAAAACTGTCTTAATATCAGCTCCAGTGGTTAGTATTAGAGCTAACATCGATCAAAATCACCGCACATAATCTGGTATATAAAGCAGTGTTAATGAAAGAAGTACATAACAATTACTTAGTTCCTTATCAGTTCATAATAAAATGAAAACGATAGTATAAGCTTATCAACGTTATTAGTAGCCACTCTGCTAGTAGGCACTTGAAATGTACTCATTACATTGCTTTCATGATATCGACATGTTTTTCATTCAGTTGTTGTTTTCCACATCGTCATACATCATCATACAGCCCATAAGTGTACACTGCTGAACAAAGGTCTCTTCTCACACGGAAGGTTTGAGCATTAATCGCCACGCTTGCTCAATGCGGAATTCCGATTTCATACCTATAATTACAGATTATAAGACCAGGTTTCTTCTCGATGGTTTCATTTACCGTTTAGCTGTGGTGTCTTAATAATCTTAGAAAGTACATACATATGACTCTGAAAAAGTCACGTTGGTACTTGCCAGATTTCGCACTCACGACTCACGCGAATGATGATGATGATGAGAAGCTGGCGCCTTAAACTCCGGGCCACCACGACAATCACTGATTTCCACTTGTTCTTTTCCACTTGTTACTAACTCTTACAATTAGTTTGTAGTTATAAATACGAATGTTAAAGTAAAGATTTCGGAATCTATCGTTGGATGTAGTAGTACTATTACTTTCCTTGGTTAATAATTGATTGCTTCCGCTTTTGTGTTTATCATCAATAATATTTAATGCACTTAAGTATTCAAAAATATTTTTAGGTAGATACTCTTATAAGTGTTTTCTAGCCAATTTTGAAAATGTAACTATGAATTTTACCACAAACAAAACGTGACATCACAACGCACAATCTAGTACAAAATTAAAAGAAAATCGACGATTTGACATTTGTATTGAACTAGCTACTCTCGCGCGGTTTCACCCGCTGCTCAGCTCCATTTAATTGTAGCTTGAAGTTTTATAGCCTATAGCACTCAGGAACATTGTAGCTATCTATCAGTGAAAGAATTTTGGACATCCGACCAGCGGTTCCAAAGATTACCCCCTACATACAAACTTACAAATTTTACCTCTTTATAATATTAAGTATAGATTTGACAAGCTGTCAAGTACCAAATTTCTTAGTCAGTGATCAGAATCACGACTGTTTCCAATGTAAAGCTTTATAATGGTGACAAACACTCTCGAAAAACTCTACTTGTGCTTTTACTGTACCCGCTGCAGATGCATAGTTTAAGCGCGGCGCAGCGCCACCTACCCGGATCGTGATCGAGCGGTTGGTTTAGGCTAAGAACTCACGGAGCGATTTTCGCCCGCGTCCGCTGCGGTTGCGGGCCCGCAGCTTCTATAGAATTCAAATATTTATATAAAAAATTAAAGCACATTTCACGACGCGTTTTACGCCCGCGGTGTACGCGGTTGTATGCGGCTCCCGCTGTACCGGCGGGCAACTAGTAGAATCGCGCGGGCCGCGGTTACCCGCAGCCTCGGCGGGTGGCACCCGCGCGCTTTGCGATCGTTTGGCGAGCGACCGCGGGGGCCGGCGGGTCTTCTGTGAAGTAAATATAACGCAACGGCTCTTTTCTGGTGTGTGTCCATGGTGGTCTGGACCTCAACTGTTTTAACCGCCCGTCTTGCAATCTTGCGATCATCGCCCGCCACATTTGCGGGCGATGATCGCAACCGCGGCGGCTGTATAACCGCGCAAATAACCGGTCTCGTGAGTTTGGAAATAAAACCGCAGTTCCGCTACCGCGGCGGGCACGGTTCAAAATCGCTCCGTGAGTTCTTAGCCTTATACTCAAGTCAAAGTCATTTATTCCAACTTAACCATAAATAGGTACTTTTGAAACGTCAAAAAGTTGACTCAGTAAGGGTCTGAAAATACCTTTCGAAAATCATCAAATGATTTATGGATAATTTCCCACCGAGAATGGGCGTAGTAATTTGATCATTAAATCCCCCCAAAAAAATAGCTAACCGCTATCCCACGTTGCTTTGACTCCATAACATAGTCTAAATGAATAATCATTATTATTACAATACAGACCTTCTCTTATGAAAAAAAAACTAAAAATAAAAACCAAATCAGTGACTTCAACATGATGATCTATATTTTTGTTTCAATCTTCTATCAGGACATCATCTTCTTCAGCTGCTTTGCCTTCATCCTCTTCTTATAGGCCTGCAGCTCATTCAGGATATACAGGTGGGCAGCAGAGAAGTGGTCTTTCCCTTGCTTATTTTTAACAAGGTTTTCCCGCAAATCCTGACAATAATGGTACCACCAAGGCAAGACTTTGTAATGATCTTCCGGTTTCAAGGACATTCCTGAGCAAAATTCTTGGTTAGGTATCTTAAACAAGGGCGAAAGACTCTGGGCCCTATCGAAGAAGACCTTTGGCAGCACAGGGTCGTTGTTCCTTCGGATCATTCTTCTTTTCGTGGTGGGAACCAGGCGGCTTTCTGTTGCCATGATGTAGATGGCGCTGATGATAAGTAGCTATGGAAAAAGTTGGTGATTATTATTTTTGTGGGTATTTTACATAATTAGTCGGTGAAAAATTATATACACCATGATCGTACTATAACTTTGCGAGGCAATATATATCTTGGAAGTCTGTCTGCTTCAAATGCACCTGCATGGGCAAAATCGGGTTATAGACAAATCTAGAACAGCACATAAAAGGTAATAATACAATAAATATCGTTTATTATCATACAGATCATATCATCAAAACAATTCAATTTTACCAATAATGACTGGTACTAAAAGAACTATAAATATTAAAAAAAAACATACCCATACTATTTTTTCCGTTGGTTCACACATGAATATCTAAACAGTTTTTATTTAAATTGCCCCACAGAATATCGATATCGTTTGTAAATTAGAAATTGCAATTTTAATTTAATTAAGGCACGTTTTGAATATGCAATTAAACGTATAACCGTACACAAAATGTGTAATTATGAATACGTACATTCACGATTTTTGTAACTCCCTTTTAAATGAAGTCTCTCTTTCAAATGAAAAAAAAGAATATTATGGCAGACATTTGGAATTATGGTAAATCGTAAAATAATATATAAACATATTTTTTATAGTATTTTATTACGACCTACTTAAATCATATTTGGAACACCTTTACATCAATAAGAAAAAATAACCTCAAAAAAGACCATAAAATATTATACCTAACTTAAACTAAACCGTGGGTAGGAACACTGGCCAAAAACAAGAAGAATTTTTCTTCACAGATAACAAATAAAATTTAATATAAATAGTACGTGTGTGGAGGGAAAATGGCGCCTGAATTTTGAGGTTATTGCGACTGCAAATGTGTTATATTATGTTTTGTATAGAAATATTTCTTTTTTTTTCACGGTAGCGTCTTCACCCTAAAAAATATATGAATGCTTACACGATATTATTTTTTGCAACTCGACCTTGATTACGCGCTCTATTTATTTTTGGTAAGTATTTGTTGTATATTGGAACGGAAGAAAATAATCGTAGATCAATAACCCCGATTCGTTCGTTTTTTTTTTTTTTAATTAAATTACCCTGTAATTGTAATTGTACCTAATTGTTGTATTATTTTTCTTGTCCAACTTACTGTGTATACAAAAATTATTAAATAAAATAAAAAATACCCTGTTCAAGTTCAACATATAGCCTACTTAGGACATATGATTGGCTGCTTTGCCAGCCTTTTGAGAGTTAGATTAAGAAGAAAGGTAGATTATTATCTGCATTTTAAGTGTGGAATAGCCATGCTTAGCCTTGAATGGTCTGGTTCGATCGGAGTAATACCACGACCTCATTGACCGCTGATTGCTTACCATGAGGTCAACAGTCTGAGGATTGTTTGCCACCCTATAGCTTAAAAAAAAAAACCTTTAAATAATAATGTTCCTTGCACTAATACCTGACCACGGGAGCGCTTTCAAACATTATAGGTGAGTATGTGAACACTCACGACTTTTGTAACAAAATCCACATACATAGGTATAATGCAACCTTCAAGCAATTTGAAGGGTTGTAATGACCTGGGTTCTAGGCGTGCTGAATGTTAGAAGACAAAGAAAGTGTAGGGTACTCACAAAATTTTTAATTCATAATTTTAAGCAGGTACATAACTCGTCCAACGCAAACACAATATAGTCAACAAAATGGCAAACTAACGGTAAGACAAAAAAACAGAAGTAAAGGACGGAATATGATTACGTACCTAAATAACTGTACTTGGTTATCCCATAAAACATACAATTATGAAAAGAAATATAAATACAAGAGAAAAAAAAATACAATATGGCCAAAGCCGATTACACAGTAAAACAAAATTAAAATCTAAAACACATCGCCAAAAGATGAGATGAGTGAGGCTCGAACTCGAGACCAGATATCGGCAGTTTATTACTAAGCCACTCAGCTATGTCTTCACTTGTCTTTAGTTGCGAATTAGACAATCAATACGTGCTATGGAGCGTACATATATTTCAGTCGGGTCTCAACCCTTAAGATCCGGTCCCGGTTAATAAGGGCGTTTCCGCAAGCTGAGGACAAATGAGCGCGGTCAGCCTTGCAAAAAAAACTAATTGTCCAGTTCAAACTTCGTAGAATAGGCGCAAACACTTACCCCGTTTCTGCTTTCACTCGCTCACAATTCACAATCACAATACGCACTGCGTGGAATTTCTTGGATAATGATCAAGACAAATTACTAAATCACGTTACTCTAAAGGAACAATGACCATGAGCCGAACTTGCGTCGTCATCCGAGCGATCGTCCGTTCTGTCTCCGTGCCCTCCTTTTTCCGTTTACCCGCGGTATCATAATTTTTCTCTAACCCTCAATTTGTCAATAAAATTACTCTCGGAGATGATTATTTATTAGCATATTGTGAGCCTAGTAACGCCATCTAGTCATAGACTCGCACATCAAAATACGGATCACTACAGGGTGTACCTATTTGTATAGACAACATTCGTTTCACTAATAATTTTCAAATTCTACCTACTAACCTACTAATATTATAAATGTAAAAGATTGTGAGAATTTATGGAAGTATGTTTGTTATTCCTTCAGGCAAAAACGGCTGGTTCCCGGACTAACACATAGACTTTTATTAACACATAGCGTTTTAACAAAAAAAATCTAAGTAACGACTGGAGCTTCACCTATAATAACATAGCCAAGGACTGCCTCTAAAGCGAGAGGCGAAGCATGCGGAGGCTGTCGGCAAACGTTCAGTAATTTTATCTACTATCAACGTTTCTAAACAATAATTTATATTACGATCACATAAGTGCAATTCGATGTATTTTAACAGAATAACGAAAAAATGCACATTTATTTGGATAATAATCACACACACACACATCAACAGCCTATAAGTGCCCACTGCTGAGCAAAGGCCTTTTCTCACACGGAGAAGGTTTGAGCACTATATAATCACCACGCTTGCTCTAGACGGATTGGCGATTTCAAACTTATAATTAGTAATTATAAGTCCAGGTTTCCTCACGATGTTTTCCTTCACCGTATGTCAGTGGTGTCTAAATAATCATAGGAAGTACATATTTCGAATGTTGCCAGGTTTCGAACCCGCACCCTCATGCATGTGAAGCGGGCGCCTTGACCTCCAGGCCACCACGACAGGGGTAATAATTTCTAATAATAAATAAAGGGTAATAATTCTAATAATTGGATAATAATAATCCAAAGAAATGGGTAAAAGTCATCTCTTTTCATTCATTTTTCATTCAGTTAATAATCTCTAAACTTCAACAAACAAATATTTTTCAAATCAACCCCTTGCCCACACTAAGAATAAAAAAATATCTCAAAAATGTTTATTGTTTAACGTGCACTGACCAGAATGGAAACAGCTGTTAACCTATGACTTTTGAAAAGAATACAAAAAGAAAAAGATTCAAACAAAACCCCCGGCTAGAGCTCTCACCACAATAATTTCTTAACCTTTTACATTTATAGCGTACTTGTAACAAGTAACAACAACCCAGGCACAATAACAGTATGTTCAGAAGGTTCACTCCTTTTTTTTTGTATTAGCAGCGTCTTAATTTTTCGTTCAATAATGACATTGGGCGGTTATGACTTGTCTTAAATAAAAATTCTAAATCTTTTGCAACCTATTGTAACATTGATATGAATACACAATCACTAATTACACTGATCAAAAAAGTGCGAAACTATTTTAATGTTCTTTTTTTAACGTTAAAATCATTTTGCTGAGTCATTTTGTGACATGTTGACCAGCAAATTGAAAGAGACATCTTTCTCGATCATACCGTTTAATTGGTTACTTGAATGATTTCAAAATAGAATACAATATAACAATTCCAAAAAGGAAACACTTTGAAGCTTATTTTTTAGAAACCAGAATGCTATTCGACGCAGACAAAATACATAACGACACAATTTTGTTTATTTGACAATGCGATATTTTATTATTCTGAACCGCTGTGAAACATATGGCTCTTTTCCTGAGTCGTGATTTACATTTACTATTTCACATACACACACAGGCCCAGAAGAAAAATGTGTGAAATTAACCTTCTGTTGTCAATCTGTACTTGGAATAAAACAGAGGCCTACTTATAATGCGGCGTACAAAAGGCTCAACGGCGCCGGCGTATTATTTGTCTTTGTTTATAGTAATGCGGCCATTATTGTGATGAGAAATATGCATCGATTCAGCGCTAGCTGTGTGTTGACAACTCTGCATTTATTGATATTAAAATCGTTTCATAGTGTTCCTAGTGCATAAGGAAACTTGACTTTTGAATATTGTAAATTATTACTTACTAGCTAAGCTCGAGCGGTTTCGCCCGCTGCTCGGCTCCATTTAATCGTAGCGTGTTGTTTTATAGCCTATAGCACTCAGGAACATTGTAGGTATCTACCAGTGGTTCCAAATATTACCCCCTACATACAAACTTACAAATTTTACCTCTTTATAATATTATGGTATACATATAGTATACATATAGTATAGATACTGTAGAATATCTAATATTAGTCAATGGTTGAAAACAACACACAGAGTGGGAGAGCCATGCTTCGGCGCGAATGGCCCGGCTCGACCCGGAGTGATACCTCCCTCCATAAGACCTCCATAAGACAATATCTGCGTCAAACAACACTGACGTTGTGTTTCGCCGTTTGAGTAAAGTTACCGGAGTTATTCCTTCCTAAGGGGAATCTGTCGCCGCCGTAAGGCACATGCTTGGTTAGAAGATATCGGTTAGGGACCGAAAATAGCATAAAAATCCCAAATTTTGTAGAGAGTTTTACTGTACCCATATGCAAATAAAGATTTAGTTTTCTCATTTTTATTTAAACAAATTATTGCCTTCCTTCAAGCGTTTCTTATACTCCAATACTGCGTCCAAAGTCTTCCTATAAAAAGGGTGGACTGTGCTAGTTTTAGTCATGGGCACTGGTG